CCTCACAATCGTATTCAGATATTTTAAACTTTCTCCTAATAATAACTCCTAACTTCAGGAGCTTCGTTAAACTGGCCGTTTTCCTCCAGTATTTTTGCAAAGTCCAGATGCATGCATATCTGTGTACGGTCCCATAACACCACGCCTTAGCGCAGGTAGGACGTACGGTCCCCTAGCGCTAAACACTATGGGGGCGTACGGTCCCCTAACAATAGCCTTAAGCCAAACAATAATGGCTGACACAGATTTTTTAAAATCTGTTGCTTTATTTGTACAAAAGTTTCCAGTTTGTACCAGCACTTATGGTACCGCACTAACTGAAAATAAGTAATGTGAGCACGTACATGCTTTGGGAAAAATTACTTTTGAGTAAACTTGACATAATTTCTATCGGATCGTGAAATAAACATTCGTGCGGCAACATATTCTCAAAATAATATTATTATGTCCCCCATAGACCTATACCTAGATCTATATATTGCACAGCAGTTTGCATCATTTTGTCTTACAGTATTCAGATTTTTCTACAAAAATTGAGGCTAGATTAAAAAATGTTTCTTCATAAATTCATATAAAATATATAAATCTCCGTCACACGGTTAATGGGGTTGTTCACAGCACATTAGCCTATAGTCTCTGACAGCACTTCCTGCTTTTCACACACATTTTGCATACGCATGGCCTATATCACACCTCACTGATGACACTTTTAAGTGGAAAAACTGGATACAAGAAATTAATTTAATAGTAAACCCTGTTTTTACACTGAAGGTTCTAAAAACATGCGTTCAAAAAGTACAATGTATGTTGCGATTAAAAACACCGATACTGCCCCGACTGTAAACCTTTTAAAATCTTTAAAAACCACCCACTTGGATTTTTTGGTTAGTATTTATAAAAGAATTTTCTAGAACACAGCTAACTGGCATTTTAAAAAATCGATCTATTAAGACAAATTGGTATCAATCATTGTGCAAAAGCTGGAGAGTCTATGTTCAAGTGGGAAATATTTGACATTAAGTTGCGTCACGAATTTGCGACCGCACTATAGGGGTGATATACATGTTGCAGGCGACAGTGTGACGACTGTTTTTGGGGTTGTTTCGCTTGTCTCTAAAGATGAAGTATTTTTGCCTCGGATATACTGAACGGGACTTGGGTTGAAAGCTGGTAAGATTCCCCTGGTTGAAAGATGAAGCAACGAGTGAGTTGGTTCTCTGCACGTAAGAAAAATAGGAGGAACGAGTGGGTGACAAGGGGAGTACATGTACGTGGGTGAGCAAGAGGGAACAATGAGCGGGCGATCGAAGTCTGCGTCAAAGAGAGAAAGAGAGAGAGAGAGAGAGAGAGAGAGAGAGAGAGAGAGAGAGAGAGAGAGATCTGGACAGTGTCCGTCCACACAAAAATAACTCATGAAAGGCAATGTTCAAGGCTGTTTGTCTTTCTGGAATTTGAAAAGAAAAAAAAAAGACAGGAAGAATCACTGTGACAACACGGAGAGGAAATAGAAAGAAAATAAAAATAGGCAGGGAATAATCAAGAAAAATCGATAGAGGGGGGAAAGAACGAGAAAACGGAGAGACAGAAAATACGTACCCCATTGTTTTTTCTTTCCGTCCTTTTTCCTCCTCTCTTTGCTTCGTTTCGATTTTTTCTTCTTTTCTATAGGAGGAGAGGTCAGATCCACGGACTGAAGGAGAGGCTCGGGATCTGGCGTGTCTTTGTACAGACTCGACCTGAGGGAAACATACGGCAGCGCGGTGAAATCAGGAGCTTGTCAAAATAATGTAATTAAGGAAAGCGGATTTTTTTTCCACGCTGGGCATTTAAAAAAATATAATTTTCTTTATGTGGCTTTATGTCTTCAATGTCCAGTTTAAGGACACGTTTTTGTGTGGATTTTACAGTTAAACGTTGATAAAAGGCACACACACACACACACACACACACACACACACACACACACACACACACACACACACACACACACACACACACACAAATGGAAATTGGCCGTTTCCAAGGACACACAAGCTTTGGAAGTCACCTAACTTTGGCGGCCATTTTCTCGCTTATTATTAATTTTTACCTCTGACATTAGTTGTTTTTTTTTTAGCCTAATGCAAGACAAATGAACAAACTTTAAGATGACACTATAAACTCCATATGCCCAAAATTTGACCAGCGCCTGATTCCACCGCGGTCTGTCACGGACCCAGTATCACAGTGCAGTCGTCCTAGGCGTTCTTAGAGCTAAACAAGCCTAGAGTTGGTGGAATTACTTATAAATTTACAGATTTATCTTAGTCACCCATTGATTCACTATTCACTATTTATCTTTCTACCAATTTAGGTTTAAGTTTAATATATTTAATCAAACTACCTAAATATATTTCCTTGTCGAATGACAAGTGGCAGATTGTCTTTTTAAGTAAGTTAGTCACCTATTCCGTAACTTATTTTAGAAGGTATCTACATACTGTTTTTTCTAAATTTCGTCTGATTTATTGAGATGAAATTATACCTATCAGCCTGTCTGTTCGTCTGCTTGCCGGCCTGCCCGTCCGTCCGTCCGTCCGTCCGTCTGTCTGTTTGTCTGTCAGTCTGTCTGTCTGTCTGATTTCGGTATGTTTGATAACGAACATGCAAGTGTTCGTACTTTCTGACTTTGTTTTCCGTTTGTAATCCAAATCAGAAGGCTGTACCCTGATCCATTAGATCCACGGAATTTTTTTAGAGCGTGGAAATTTACTCGCTCAAATCTTGATTTCCCACGAGGAATGTTACGCCTGACAAGATCTTTCCAAGTCTGAAAGTCTGCAAAATGGAAAACTTGTGTAGCTCGCCATGTGAGCGCATGGTACGAGAAGGCAGGTCTGAAAAGGGGCTACGAAACTGAAGTCCAAGAAAAATATGTAGTCTAAAGTGGAACTAGGTATTGAAAGCCCACAAGAAATGAAAAGGTATGGATCTTTTCCTGCTTTCTTTTTTGTGGTATTCATGGAAACTTAACATGAGGGTCAAGAAGAAACTATTGGCGTTAAAGTCTGCTCGCTAGCCAGCGACATGGCGACCACACTTCGGTGGAGGAAGCCACTAATCCGATTAGGTTGGTATATTAATTATAATGGTATTTTAGACTTTAGATGCCTCCTGGGTACACAACGCTCACCAATAGTAATCGATAATCGATAAGCAAAAAGCTTTTCGGGGTTGATAGTTTTTTTTTTCTTTAATTCGGTTCGATTGTGGCGTCACTATCTCTTCAGCAAACGGTAACAAGTTATTTACCAGGAACGAAAGGGGTTGGGGAGGGAATGTAAGACGAACCCCCCCCCCCCACCTCAAAAACCCCAGAAAATCAAATGTAACATATTACCCCCCCCCCGAAAAAAAAAAGTAAAAAAAAAAGTATCCATATACGAGTTTCGAAAAGGTTTTGGTGGGGAAGACCTTCAAGATATTTTTAAATGACATGGTTCAAGAAACACTCTTCCCACCTCCCCTATTTTTGCATTCACACCAGTCTCGTGCACAGAAGATAGAGGTTTTATTATATGAACATATTGTTACAAAGCTGTTTTAACGGCCTCATCGACACAAATAAGATCATTCAGGAAGCAGGCTTCGACCCTGCCTGTCATGCTGGATACAATGTTCGAGCAGAAGGACCGAAATACTCGATAAAACTTCTTTCCACACGGGAACTGAACTCGGGTCTTCTGCATTCTGTGTGTGACAGTGAAACGCCTTATCGCTACACCGAAGAGCCAGGTGAAGAAAGAGTCCTACAACTCTGCTACCGGAATTTCAATTTAAAAAAAACAAAAAAACTTGTACGTACATAATTGTAATTCATGAACAATTAGAAGGGAAGTTTCTAGTTTTCTCCATTCAAAATGTGCCCCAGTCTTGCGGACATTTCTGTGATACATTTCTATTTCTGTTGGGAACAGCCTCATGAATTTAGATAAGGAAGATGGAAACGGCAGTATAAAAAAGAAAAAAAAAAGAAAGAACAAGAAACGGATGAAAAAAATAAAGAGAGAAAGATAAAAAGAAAAAGGCCAAGAATCACGGTTTTGTTAAAATTGACAAATTAAACAATATAATAGTAACCTGACTTTAAAAATACACAGTATGGCCATGCCTTGTCTTCTTTCCCTTAGGAGTCAAGAACAGAGGTTGTACTTTCAAGGATAAATGTGACATAAACAAAGGCATGTTGAAAGAGATTTCAGCGGACTCGTCGTTGTCGAGTTTAGAACAAAAAGGTATCTGCGCGCGCGTATATGAGTGTGTGTGTGTGTGGGGGGGGGGGGGGGGGGTTGATTACTTGCTGTCGGCTTGACTATTTGACTATAGTGACAACAAAACAAATCGACAGGACGTATCAGAAGCCTTTGACTTTGACAGCGCGTCAGTTGATTGTTTCAAAGAAGGATCTGTTTTTGCTTCTTTCGAATTTCACTCACTAGCCTTGGTTGTCATCCACGAGCAGTCACGTAAAGGAAAGAATGTTTTTTGGGAGGGTTTGGGGGGGGGGGTGTTTTTGGTAAGTGTTTAACGGCGCTTGCTACTGTATAAGGTCATACTAGCGCGCGGAAAACATTAAACATTTTTCAGTTGGTGGGAAATTTAGAATTTTTGAGACAGAGATAGGCAGAAGCCTACTCATCGATTTTGGACCACAAAGGAATCTTTAACGTGCGCAACTTTCACATGGGGCCTGTAAGATTTTTCGCCCTTGTCCGAGAAGGCTAGGTGTAGATCTTTCCTACCAGAAGATCATGGGTGTGGCTAAAAGACAGCAGTAAAAGGGAGCCAATGAGTAACAGTAGAAAGACTGCAGAAGAGAAAGAGTCAGAAGCCCAGAGGAGGGGGTAAAGGAGGTGAGGGGATGGGGGCAGAAAATGGAGACGAAAGCAGACGACAGAACATTGCTAGAGAGCAGGAAAGGATGTGAAAGCAGAAAATTATTGGACCTATTGAATGAGAGGCGAACACCTTAACCTCTAGGCCACGGGAGCCCCAACCAAACGGGGTTTATATTTTAGAAAATAAAAAAAAAGAAAAGAAAAAAGAGGAGCCAAGTCAAAAACATACCGAAATGGCCCTTTTTTCTCTAGGGCGGGCTGCGGCGTCTCAGAACGAGTGCTGGCATCAGGCAGCGCCACGGCCGTGTCTGCCCCACTTAGATGTGCGGCCTCCAGCTGAGCTGCCAGAGCTGTGACCTGCTGTTTGACCGCCTCCCGGACTGGATTGACAGGCAAGTCTGGCGTCATGATGGCGGACGCTCCGCCCTTAGTTGTTCCGACGTACACCCCGGGATGACTGTAGGAACAAGCATAGTATCTCGACTTTTAGTAAACACCTATAACAATATGCATACCCACATACATCTATACGTACATGCATACATACATTATACATTTAGATACATACATTATATATAATATATATATATATATATACATATATACGTATGTATATCATATATAATATATATACATACACATATATAATATGTATAAATTAAATGTAGGTATGTATGTATATATAAATCTATAGATAGATATTATAAATAGCTAGACAGGAATAGATAGATAGATAGATAGATAGATAGATAGATAGATAGATAGATAGATAGATAGAGAGAGAGATAGAGAGATAGATAGATAGATAGATAGATGAGGTAGGCAAGAGGGCCCCATGAGACTCCTACAATGATGCTTGAATCCAGGTGGTGCAGAACATGGTGGTCCAGAACATGGTTACTTGTGTTGTCAAACGAGCAAATGACCCATTGTCATTTATGTCGGAGTTTATGTAATCCCCCCCCCCCCAATCCCGGAAGCCAAGACAGTGTGACCTTTTAGTTGTTTATAATATTAGTAAACTAAAACTATTAAGAGTGCATGCACGTTTCCGTAAATAGTTCTGATAACATAAAATTAAAACTATTCTTAGACAATTATTTTCAGAAATTCCATGAGAGAACCACGTACGATCCTTATAAGGACTGAACTTACATGCTAAAAGTCATCTATAAAAATAAACTTATACATGTATTAACTGCAGACTATTCTGGGGCCCTTGGGGAGGGGGGTGGGGTGGTGAGGAAAAATAAAATTACACATAGTCCTGCTTCCAAAGGAATGAGGTTAGACTAGAACTTTTTGAGTTGACGCACTACAGTGTAGTTAGACGCACTCTCACGACCCACCTGGCAGTTGGTATTTCAGTCTCGGCAGACGAGACAGCAGAATTTGTTTCATTACTACCGCTCTCCAACGCATTGGCAGACGTTTTCATTTCATCTGAAGTCGACTGAGTTACGGCCTGTTGTTGCTGCTGCTCGTTTATGGTGGGCTGTGGGCCGACCTTTGGCCTCGCCCCCTGACCATGACCCTGACCTTGACCAGCGGAATGGCGTCCACCTGTCATGGGAATATTCCATGAGAGGCCTGTGCCGCTGGTAGTAGCAGTCACGCTGGAGTCTGAGAGGGAGGCAGACGGCGATGCATATCTTCCCGCATCTCCAACGGGTCTGGAGGACGCAGGACGGTTAGCTGGTGTCCTTGGCGTATCTGTGGTAGAGGAAAGACAATCCTATTAGCAATACAATTATTTAGAGACAATTAATGAGGTTTTGGTGTATGTGCACAGACTTTTACCATCGCAATGGTTGTGATCAAAAGAGAAAGGCAGGGACGGAGGGAGGGAGAGAGAGAGAGAGAGGGAGAGAGAGAGAGATAGAGAGAGAGAAAAAAGTATGTGTGTGTGTGTGTGTGTGTGTGTGTGTGTGTGTGTGTGTGTGTGTGTGTATGTGTGTGTACGTGTTACTTTGAATTTGTCCTTTGGCGGGTGTACATGTCCATACGTCTATGTTTCTTTAAAATTCAACAAAAGTCACCGAGAGACCCTTGTGCACTCGGCAGCAACTCGTGTTCGGGAGAGGCCCACTGAATTTCATGATCACTTAAAAAATCCAAAATAATTGCGGTACCTGTAATGAAAAAAATATCAAAAGACTATTCAGGGTGAAACCGTGAACGATGGTGATGCTTCGGCGGTATTGAAATTGTAAACATTTTACGTACCAGTCGACACATCTTAGATCATTTAAGGGGTTGGCTATTTCGATCTAGCGTATCAGAGTCAACCCAAACCGAGAGGGATCCAATATTCAAAGGGATAGATAGGGACACTCGACAACACCTCCAGCCTTCACCAACCAATACATATATCTCAAGCATTCTACGCGCAGCATCGGCAAACAGCATTGAACCGGCTGCACGACAGTTGCTTCGATTGAAAGAGCGGAAAGGGTTTTTCTTTTGCATATACTTTAGAATTGTTCGTTTGTTAAAGACACAACAAAAGTCATTACGAATAATATGTAATAGGGCCTACATATTTCCCCGCATCGCCATCTCAAAGTTCCCTAAAGACCACTGAGCCAAGATGAAACAATGTTTTGAAGGAAAGAAAGAACTGAAATAATCCAGGCTCTGAACGTTAAATGTTGGTGTTTTTGACCCGTTTGTATCAAATAGCGTACGAGAGGAAACGCCTTTTAAATGTAGGTGTTTTATTAACACCATTTTGGAACGAATTTGGATAATTTGGGAGGCGGGCTCCAACCTTGCCTATCGCAAAAGCCAACTCAGAATGAGAGGGGAACAACGTCTCTTCAGAAATACCCAGATCTTAAAAATTCTCTCCACACGAGCAACGGCAAAGCGCCTGGCGGCAGCAACACCGTTGTCGCCGGATCACTAGAGAATAACTCAGAGCAATATTCAATTAATCTATAACAAAATGATAACGTTCCACGTGTCAAGACAACTCACGCGCTAATCTATAACTGTCGTCACGTGTGGGTCCATCTTTTGTTTTTGTTTTTGTAAAGTGTTTTACGGCGCTCGCAACTGCATAAGGTCATATGAGCGCGCGGGACACACCTAATATTTTCAGTTGGTAGGAAATTTTGAATTTTGCCCGGGTGGCGGCCGAAGCCTACTCTTATCGAGTTTAGACCACCAAGGGATCTTTAACGTGCGCAACTTGCACACGGGCCCTCCGAGATTTTTCGCCCTTGTCCGAGAAGGCTAGGTGTAGATCTTTCCTACCAGAAGATCAGGGGTGTGGCAGAAAGACAGCAGTAAGGAGGAGCCAAGGAGTAGCAGTAGAAAGGCTGCAGAAAGTCAGGAGCCCAGAGGAGGGGGCAAAGGAAGTGAGGGAGTGGGGGCAGAAAGTGGAAATGAAAGCAGACAACAGAACATTGCTAGAGAGCTGGAAAGAAGGTGAAAGGAGACAATTTTAGAGAAGAAAATTGTTCGGTCGCTACCCGGATTCGAACCCGGGACCTTTGAATGAGAGGCCAACACCTTAACCTCTAGGCCACGAGAGCCCCCGTGGGTCCATCGCGTTGAAGACGTTTTAGCAAAAAACAACACAGACATTTGCATTTGAACAAAGTACATGAACGAAGGTGAAATTAGATCGAGTATACATCTTAGTTATTCGCGCTAACAAATCCCAAAATATCTCGAAAGACATCGTTGTCTGAAAGAAAGTCACACTATATTTTGAACGAATGTAATGCGTTTATCTTAATTAGCTATTAACATCGCTCGTATTATCGCTAAAAATGGATTTTGCTACAACTAAATACATAAAGATAAATCTTCCTTTTACTTTTTGCGAGATAGAATTCTTTTTACAATGTTTTACCCAGGACACACTTTGAGAAAACTGAATACATGTACAAACGCTTCCAACCAAATTTTTAAGATGGAAAAAGCACCAGAAAGGGAGGGGGGGGGGGGACTTAGATTCGGACCTAAACCGGATGGAATGCAGCTGGGCAGAGGTGGAAACAATAGTCCATGACAAAAGTAGGTGGCAAACTCTACTTGTTAGTGGCCTTTACTCCAGCACGGGGTGAGAAAAGCTGCTGATGATGATAACACAAAGAATAAAATACGGAGTGGCTAGTCGCTCGATCTCTGAGGCTCTCTCTGTCACTGTCTCTCTTTCCGTCTCTCTCTCTCTCTCTCTCTTTGTGTCACTCTCTCTCTCTCT